AAAGGTTGGAATTACACCTTGCCAAGTCATATTGCTTTTAAAAAAACAGCTTAAATAATCTGGTGAAATTACCGAAATCATTGGTAGTGGTCCAACTTGAACACCTTGCCAAGGCATAAATAAGAAACCAATAATAAAGGAAATCAACATGCTCATCGCAAGAGACATTACCTTGGTATGTATTACCATGATATGAAATGTAGGACAACATTGATGTATGTCCAGAAGTATTGGCCTTTAAAGAAATGGTTTATTATAAATAAACAAATGAATTGGCTAAATATCTACCAAAATAAAGTCATGCGAAGACATGTGTCATGTCGAACATTCCATAGAGGACACATTCCAAAATCGGTTTGTCATACGATGATTGTGATATGTAACACATCATTTTAAAAGTGTAGGATTTTTTAATTATCATTATTTTTTAATTTAAAAAGTTTCCGTACTTATTTCCTTTTTTCTTTCAGTTTTTTAATTTTAAAAGTAATTTAAATTTGTATGATTAGTGGTTAAATTTTTCCAAATTGTCTTCACAAGCTCTTGTATCCAATCAAAAGAACAATTGCTAACAAAAAAAAATGTTGAAGAATATAACTAATCAATATGTTAGCTTCAAAATAAGCATAACATATTTCTCACCTATCTTAATCCTTGCACTTTACCCTTTTTTTCCCCCTTTCACTCTCATACTATCTTTTCCCTCCACCCCAACCTAACTCTTTGGTGAATTTAAGATTGACCCTTGATCTCAATATTTCATTGTAACTCTCCTACTAATATTCAAACTCATTTCAAACTACAAATGAATGTTTATGTTCTTTTTCCTTTTTGTAATTCTTCTCTTTCACCTGTTGAAACCTTTCTTGTTTCAAAGAAGATCATCTCTTCAAGCTTAACTTATTACAAAAGAATCTTCAGAGCACTCCTCTTGAAAGAATCATACTAAAAAAAATCAAACCCTTTCTGCATCCTAAAAAACTGTTAATATTCAGACATCATATCCAGGTCAAACCTGTCCATGATTAAAAGACAAACATAATAAGTACAAACTGTGTACCTTAAGTTGAAATGAATCTTAAAAGTTAAGAGATATTTCATTTAACATGTCATTTACCTAAATGTGTCTGTCTTCATTGAAGCTGTTGCTTTGGTTTCGATCGTTGAAACTGTTACTGCGGTTTCGATCGTTGAAACTGTTACTGCGGTTTCGATCGTTGAAGCTTACAGTTCTAAGTTTCAACTCTCCCCTGCTGGTTGTCATCTCATCCAATATCTCTGCATCGTAGTAATCTTCCGAGCTTCCGTCGGTATCACTACCACATGGCTCCGTATCCTGATCAAGCATATTCAAAGAATACATGATTACATGTAATTTTGGTCTCTTTTCTATGCTGTATACTCAACAAGAAATGAATACTCGTAATAGTCCGTACCTTTAGTGACATATTACGTGCTCCACGTGGAGCACCAATAACTTCCTCATATTCGGAAGCATCTAGCTCCTGAAGATCGTTAGGATTGAATAGTTTTGGTAGAACGTGTTCTCTTAGAACTATGAGAAGGAAGAATGGTAGCGGGAACAATATTCCACCAACAGGTATCCATGTGACCCCAAAACAGAACAGAAAATATGCTAACTGTAAGGCTGTAAATCCAGCGATGGTTTTGAATGGTACTGTCTCCACGAACGAGGCATGTGATTCTTGCAAAACTCTGTCCAACACAAAACAGACAATAACAATAATTAGTACTACACTAGCTTCTACATTGAAGGAAAAAAAGTTAAAGCACAAGGTTATTTAATTACTTGTAACGTCGGCTTGGGGGGATGAAGAGGAGCAATAACCGCTCCCAAAACTGATTCCCTGGAAGACTATCGATTGCCATGTAAGCAAAATAACCCCATAAAACTGAAGTCGGTATCTTCTTGATAACGGAGATGCCTATTATCGATAGGCCAACCAGGAGGGACTGTAATAAGTTGGTCATTCTTTGTTCATTAACCCGGACCGGTAAATTAGCGTCTATGTATTTCTCAGGATCAAAAGGTTCCGTTGCACCACCCTTGGTATCAGGTTTCATTACAGCTGCTTTCAAATTCTCCAAATCTGTAACCTGTTACGATTAGAAAACCAACACTAAATGTATCAGTATCAACCCAACAATACACACAATGAGCTATCAATCCAACAATACATACACTAGGGGCTGCATCCATTTCAACGAACACAGCTTGCATTTTCCCGTATAACTCAGACCTGGTACTGTGTTGTTCCATGCATTCCTTGGCGCTTTTCACAGCCTTCTTTCGGATCAGCTGCAAATCAGTGATGTTACACAAGGATATAAACTGAGTTGAAGTTTACGAAGAAATTAAGAACGAAGAGTCTTTATGTAAAAAATATTGATGCTTATTACCTGCTTCCTAAGAACTGCCAAACTCTTTGTGTGCATTGGGGACTGTGGAAGGACTCCATTTGAAGGAGGAAGGCCAAGGAGACCACAAATCAAAGTCATTATTCCAAGTAGGAAAACATCATAATGGTAGGCAGATGGTTTTTGAAGGTTGAATTCTTTCTGTTGTGCCATCTTAGAAGCCACACAATGATCGAAAAAGTATAAACCCGCTATCATCGAAGCTGGAATAATTGCCCCAAATATATAAACCACAGGTACCTTCCACATATCCTGCAGTTTGTCGTAACTGTTAGACTTGGATAGATTTTAGGACTTGCCTAAACTAAATTGATCACAGGTTATAGTTAACAGTGTTGAACACCGACACGTGTCAGTGGACACGTCTTGAATATGAAGTGTTGGTGCTACACATGCGTACATTACATGGACAAAATCGACAGAACTATGAAATCAATGTACCTTCACTACTGTCCAGTGATAAAGAGACACAGGTTCCCATGGAAGCGGACAAACCAGCCTTCTAGGAACATCATGTGGAACGGTGCTTGGCTTTCTATAAGATAATACAGTCCACAACACTACCATCATTGGAACTCCATAATCTGCAATAAAGCCTCGTAGCTTCCCTGAATTGAAATACAAGAATAAAGATCAATGGAGTCATAAGGTAAATCAAGTGTAAACGATACAAAAAATCATTTGCATAAGGTTTTGGAATCACTTACTTGTTCCATATCGCCATTTTCTTGCTTTTCTGCTTTTAAGTGCAGTGACGATTAGCCCTAGAGAGAAAATGACTGCAAGTAATCCATTTGTATACTGCCATTGAATTTGCACTGGGGAAGGATCTTCCACCTTCAGATTGCTGAACTCGCCTATCAGTCCCTGCGGTTCAAACAATTATCGTCAAGTTGATTGCAAAATTCACAATCTATACATTGTTTTCGCTTGGAAGAGGAAAACAATCAACAACACCTTTATAGCCTCTTGAAAGAAAAGAACAGTGATAAGCATGCTAAATAACTCCCCTGCAATTCTTGTAAATCTAGTGATAATATTGCAAGCATTAAAAATTGCAAGCAAAATTAACATGAACCCCGTCCAAAAACAAACCCTGCAACACAGAAGCAAGATATGTATTGGAATTTAGCAAATGTAAAAAATAAACCCTAGAAACAGAAATGAGTATAAAGTTGAAATAGCTTACCAACCAGCCCAAGCCAGAAAGAGCTCAGCACCCAAATTAGGTGTATTTTTGCAGAAACTGTAGAGATAAGTATACATTATAACAGTCGGTTCCGCAACTCCTAAAATCAACAAAGGTTGGCCACCTATAATTGACTGGATAACTCCACAAATAGCAGTAGATGCTAATGTTTCGACCGTGCTCAAGCTTCCATTTGTTTCCCTACTAAGTTGCTCTCCAAATGCAATAACAGGAAGTGCAGAAGCAAAGAATATGTAGAAAGTCGGAGCCAATATACTGTCATTGTTCATAAATCAAAATTACAAAACATAGATCAATGAAAAATGTTGCTAATAAATTGAACACATAACAAAATTTCTAGTCCTAGACAGTATGAAATCGAACAAGAACAACCGAACGAATGCATTACCTAACACCAGAACAGATTGCACCGACCCAATCTTGTTTATAGCATTTAACTCTTCCTTTAACATCTTGACTGATTCCTTCAAACGGTGCCCCCATGTTAATTTCCTCCTACAACTGAAGGAGGAAACTGTATATTATGCAGAGATAATTAGACAGACACAGCAATGAACAAATTAGTTTCAGAAAATGTAATGTGCAAAGTGAGGAACTTCAACTTGAACTTATGCTAATAATGAAGTGAATTTATTTGCATGTATAAGAAGAAAGAAGGAAATGAATGAAAGCGCGTTGATGATTATTTTTGACAGTAAAAAAATAACTCATAAAAGGACAAGATTGACACTTTAAAACAGTTGGATGCATGTGATTTTCAAAATGCACTTGATTTCTTGAAATACTCATTTGTATGTACAGCCAAAAATACAGTGAAAACTATTTTCTATATGTATATTAAAATAAAATAAAGGAAATATTAAAGAAGCAACTATTTCTAGATGAATAACAATAATCACTATAAATTCAAACATATTATCTTTAGGTTCGAATCATGTGCTCACACTTAGTTTCTAATGGATATTAGATAAGCAAATAAAATGCTAGAGAATTATTGTCATTATTTCTAGAAAGTAATCATTTCTATTTTATGTTCTCCATGATTCAAATGAAAATAGAAAAACGTATACTTCCATTAAAGTGGGACCTAGCATCATAAATGTGTTTTTACTGTATAGAACAAATCTAAAAAAATGAGGGACCAGTCAAAGTTGAGAGACGCAAATAGGAACAAAAGAGTAATTAAAAATGCAATAAAGGTGTTCACATTTTTCAAAGGAAGCGAAGAGGCATAGCGAATGTTGAAGGAGAGAAGCTTCAGCAGCGGCGCGTAGGACGGCACGGGCGGACCCTCGGGGAGGAGAAGGAGGGTCCCCGGAGAGAAGGTGGGGAACTTCTCTCTCTAGAGGTCGGTGTGGGCGAGGAGAGAGAAAGAGAGTGATGAGAGTGTAGAAGGGTAGTGGTGGTTGGATGAAAAAAAGTAAGAAAATGATAGGTGGGATTTGTGGGGTCTATTTGTAAACATGGGAGATCCATTTCATTATCCTACTCTGTAGGATAAAACAGGTGGAGTAGAAAATAAGGTATTGTATTTTATGAAATTAGCTATTGACTGAATTGATAAATATAAAATAATATAAAAAAATATTTGATTTATTTAAAAAAAATTTGTAAGGATGAACTTATTGACTGAATTGATAAATATAAAATAATATAAAACTTTTAATGTAAGCATGCAACATCTAATCTTCAGTCTTCGAAAATAGTACTATTAGAACGTAATAGTTGTTAACAAAATAAACGTTTGTAACTAATATGATAGTCTCATAATTTGACATTATACATATATATATCTATCTAAAGTTAAATTTATCTCTAGACTTTAACTTTTTTATAATAATTATTCAGATATAAGCTTAAAAAGTGTAATGGGTTCACAAATCATGTTATAAACAATCAAATTATTTTAGGCATAAATACATATATTTGATTTTGGGAGATTCTATTAAAAATAGAGAGTGTTTTAAAAGTTTTTCTCTGTGTATAAGCGTGTGATTGTTATAATACGTAAAGATTTACTCTTAATCTTTTACAATTTTAACTTATCACTCTAACATGTGACAGGTTGGATTAGATGAACTTTCACACTTTCACAATCTTTAGATCTTAAAGTGCCCTTAATTGATACATTAATGATTTAACACTTCAACTAAAACTTGAATTGACTTATTGATGATGTTGTAGATATATTTTTGATCAAGTGTCGTCTTTAGAACCTTTTACTTTGAAAGGTGAAATTAACTCTCATGTCACTTAGAATTATCTACATTCACGAGCCGTTTGACATATGGAGTTGTCATCTTCAAAATTGTTGTTTCATCAATTGTCATAATCAAAACCTAATTGACGATGTACCTGCAAGCATATAAATTCACAATAAGTTACGTACAATAAAAGAAGAATCAAAATTTAGATTTGAGTTGTTTAACAGTTGATTTAAGGTTACTGTTTGTCTATGATTATTTGTAGTATAAAAAGACACTTGTGAATTTCAAATAGTGGAAAACTAACAAATTTTTAATGGTTCATGATTAGAGATTGGACTAGGTGTAACCGAAAACGATGCGCTAAATTAATATAAATACCGGTGTACAATTTCTCTTTATCTCTCTCTTTTAATTTCTGTTTAGTTTTCATGATTTTAGATTGTTTTTCGCTTTCTAGTATTGTATGATTTTAGGATTTTATCGCTTTCTAGAATTGTATGTTGTCGGGTTTATTGTTCATAGTTTTTTAGTGTTTAAGATTAGATTTGTGTTAGACATTGTGTGCTAAACATTATTTTTAGTGATTATATTTGTACAAACTTGTAATATTAAATTATTAATTCGACCAGTAAAATTTTGTTCAAATATTTCATTGTGAATTGAATTTGATTACTGAAAACACCGTGCATTACTAATTTTATCATTATATTTTTTATTGTATTTTTTGTTCATTGAGTAAATCATACAATTAGTCTATAGCTTATCGCTTCAAAAGTCCCGCTGGCACGCAATTTTAATATTTTGATTTAAAAAAATGAATGTTTTTAATTGGGAAGGTCTATTCAACACTTTCTAAATCATTTTACTCTCATATTCAACCCAATAAAGTCATTATATGCATAAACATGAATTTTGTGTGTTACTTTATGTACAAATAAGTGAATAAGTGTGTGTGAAATTAATAGTAATTTTAAGATATATAACACATTTATCAACCCTCTCAAACTTTGTATTTTGTTCGTACGGAGCGAGATTCAATATTTTGAGGGAAAATATATATATATATATATATATATATATATATATATATATATATATATATATATATATATATATATAATTGTAAAAATATAGAAACCATGTTATTCACATTTTTGCCTAAAAATAATAATAATAAGGTTGCAATAGGATTCAAACTTTCGACTCTTATAGGACAAGACAACACACTTATCACTCGACCAATTTGGATTTAATGTAATCTCTACGCAACAAATATATGTATATACAACTAAATATTTAAAATTCCATATATTATATATTTTTAATTTTTTTATATTTAAATAATAAATTTTGAGGTGGTCATAGACTCTGCCACTGAACACTGTCACGCTTTGTCCCAAAATGACTCTGTCACTGAGCGCGCATGATTTTTAAATTATCAGCATACAATCTCAAGAATCTAGAACTTTTAACCAAACATGGTTTTTAAATTCTTTATCAGCTTGCATGGATTGTCCAATTCAAGATAATCAAATGACACATTTAAAATAAATCATATATATGAAAAAGTTGCTACATCAAAGAATACAATCTAAAATTTCAATAAAAAGTTAACCAAAAACAATCATTACCTCACAAGTGTATATCAACTCAATCAGAATTAGAGTTTCTCTCAGACATTCAAAGCATTTCACATCAAATCAAATTTATTTTCTTCTAAGTCAATGCAATTCTTGAAAGGCCAGTCGTCACTCTCGACACTCCAACTGAAGACCTCTCTGTGCTCTATGAAACTATTGTTGACTTTGAAAATCTGAAGGATAATGGTTTTGATCTTACTGGGACGCTTAAATTTCAAGGCTGGAATACTTTCTTCGAAATATTGAAAGGTCCTATTTTTCCAGTCTTTGTTGAAGACTTTTTGAATCATGTTGAAGATGAAAAAGAAAAGGTCACTTCTTACTTCCTTAGCAAAAAACTTGAGATTACAGATAAGACCACCACTGATTTCATCTCTCATATTGTTAAAGGAGATAAAGTTTCCTTTATCAAATCTAAATCTAAACAAGATGCAATGGTAGCATTAGCATCAAACTTTAAAGATATTGAAGATATCTTAAGGGTATGGTTCAAAATTGTCATTGGAAGCATGTATTATCATTCTAGCATTTAGATGGGTGATCACATTAATACCTCCTATAAGTTCATGTTGTTCTTTTTAGAATATGGTGTCAACCTGACACTACCAACTCTTTTATTTATACTTCTCAGAGATTCGGTGGTTCTTATGAGAAAGAACACCATGATGAGGATATATGTTAAGATGCTCGTTGAGAAGATTGGAAATAATGCTTTTATCAACCTGATTTCTCTCATTGTAGGTGATATTATTTGGATCATCTCTAAAGAAGACTTGAAGGAGGTTAGCGAAGAGTTTGAAAAGTCAAGGTGTGTACTTGCTATACTAGTCGAATACGTCGAAAAGAGACAAATGAATCTGAAAGACCGGCATTTGAAAAATTTGAATACTGCTGCTGGAACTTCCTCTTCTGGAGTGATTCTAGAAATTCTAGAGACTCTTGTTGAGCTTAAGGAAGACAAGGACCTGGTCAACCAATGCTTGGATAGGCATGAAATGATGTTTGATCTCATCCTCTCCAGACTTCCCCCGCAGAACCCAAACCCTTAGTCTTTGAAATTATTATGCACTTTTGTTTGTGTTTTTGTTGATTAAGTGTTTGTGTTTGTTTTATTTTTTTTATATGTACTTGTGCGCCTTCTGGCGTTTTTTATGATTAATGAAGTTATTTCTAGCTATTTCTTGTTTAAGTTATCTTTTTGTCTTTTTGATTGCTGACAAAAAGGGGGAGAAACGTAATAATTTTGATATATCTATATTCATGAATCAGAACCCAAATATTCTAAATGTTTCTACTAACAATTAGTTGAGAATATTGTGTTAGCTGTTTCAGGGAAAGAAATGAATATCGGAAGATACTGAAGTTTTTATATCAGATCGTAAGACAACTAATTTCTGAAGAAATGAAACGGAAAAAAATATTAGAAGATACTGAAGTTTTCAGATCAGATCATAAGATAACTAATTTCTGAAGAAACGGTTTCTAAGGAATGTATTGAGAAAGACTTTCAACAAGGCATTAAGTTTGTAAAAATTTAACCAGACTTTAACTAGGATTTGAAGATTTTTTTTAAGATCTCAAATCAAGCTAAGTTTTTCAAACCATACTTCTGAAATATTTTCTCAGGAAATTAGGT